AATTCCCCAAATTTCACAGTATTGTGGGATAGTGATGCTTAGGTAAAGTCACAAACACATTCTAACTTTCATGGAGCAAGTTGTCTATCATGGTCTATAACATTTATGAGTTCTATGAGCTTTGCGATAGTTATTTCTTCCCATTGGGTGTTGTGTACATTTCCTTTGCTTTGCATAGTGTCAGCTGTTCCAGCTTTCCCACTCGTTCCCTCCCTCCCATCACTGCCATTCAGTTGCTTAGTTCACTTTGGTCAATATCCAGTGCAGCTGATGGGTCCCTGTCCTTGAGCTTTTTTTATTCAAGGCTAACACTCTGCTACTTGAGCTACAATTCTACTTCCAGTTTTTGCTGGTTAATTGAAAATAGGAATCTCAGGGACTTTCCTGCCTGGACTGACTTTGAACCGCTGGCTTTGAATCCTCAGATTCATAAATTCCAAAGCACTTCTTCCCTGGGAATGTCTGGATTCCCCCTCACTTCCTAGGATCGGTCAGCCAGATGCAGCGCTTTTGCTGACAGTTTTTCTTTCAGATCCCATCCGCCTGCTACCCTCTGGCCTGGGCCTCTGCTGACGTCCAGGGGCTTGGGGACCAGTCCCTGCTCCTGATGATGTCCGGGGGGCCGTGGGGGCCAGTCCCCACTTCCTGCTTTCAGGGCTCTCTCCCGCTATGGTTTTCTGCATCTATGGTGCGTGGAGTGGCTGGTTGTAGCTCTGGTTCCAGGTTTGCAGTCGCCTCGTGCTTTCACTGTTCTTGTTCACAGCTGGCTTCATTAACGGCTACTGCTCCACCACCTGAGCTACGCCCCCAATCTCGCATTTTGATGACTAGAGATGGGGGTCTCACAGGCCTTTCTTAGGCTGGCGTCAAACTGTGAGCCTCCAGGTCTCAGCCTCCTGAGTAGCTAGGATTACAGTGTAATCCTAACCACCAGCGCCTGGCTCCAGCTGGCTTTATTGTTGAGACTGAGTCTTGGTAACTTTTGCCTAGACTGGCTTTAAACTGACAGTACTCCTCATCTCTGCCTCCTGAGCAGTTTCTTCCTAAAATCCTTTCTCATTCCCAGTGAAGGTCAGCCTGGAAGGCCTTGGTCCTCAGGGACAGCCCATGGCCTCCAGCTTAGGGCTTTCTTCCTGAACCCGTGGCCAGTGGCCCCGTTACTGTCAGTTCCCTTCATGCAGTGGGGCCGGTGTGGGCGCCTGGGGCGCCGTGCGGGGCAGTCCTGGCGGAGGGCCTCCATGGGAAGGTGTTGTGCCAGCATCAGCTCCCTTTTCTCCCCTGTGCAATAGTCTCTGCACATCACCGCGCAGTGAGGGAAGACTACAGTGACAAGGGCAAGACAGCACGCTGGAGCCGCAGCCCCGCACGGCCGCCCAGGGAGCGCTTTGACCTGGGGGACAGCCGGAAGCCAGGTAAGGAGGCCCATTGCCCTTGGGGGAGGGGGGTGAGCCTGGCACTGGGCTTCATAAGTCTCTGACACCAGGAAGTGCTCAGCGAAGTTGTGGGGGGGGGGTTCTGCACTAAAATGATGTGTGTCCCCAGGGACTGTTGACATTTGCATGACTTAAGATCCTGAACCGGTCCTGAGGGCTGAGGGCGGAACTGGATGAGCACTTCCAGCTGATGTGGCAGTGCCATTCTCCACATAGACTGCAATTAACACGTGCATGTAACTTGTGAATTTAAAATTATTCCCCAAATTCACCTGTGATGGTTTATTTCACAAGTAAAAGAAGAGAAAATGGAGGAAAGAGACCTGCTGTCTGACCTACAGGACATCAGTGACAGTGAGAGGAAAACCAGCTCTGCCGAGTCCTCCTCAGGTACAAGTACCATCTGCCGAGGCCTTGCTGGCCCCAGAGTCTGGCCGAGGCAGCGCTGACCCCAGAGTCTGGCCGAGGCAGCGCTGACCCCAGAGTCTGGCTGAGGCCGTGCCCGGCTGCCAGCAAGGCCAAGGCTGACCCCAGCTTTGCTTTCTTGGACAGTGGAATCAGGCTCAGGCTCGGAGGAGGAAGAAGAGGAGGAAGAAGAAGAAGAAGAAGGGAGCACCAGTGAGGAATCCGAGGAAGAGGAGGAGGAAGAAGAGGAGGAGGAGGAGGAGGAAGAGGAGACTGGGAGTAACTCAGAGGAGGCGTCAGAGCAGTCTGCAGGTCCCGTGGTCTTCATGTGTTTGTGTTCACCACAGGCAGTCTAGGACCTGCAGAAAAATCACTTTGAAGTTGAAGTTAATTTCAAATTGAAATTGTATTCCTCTGTGGAAATTTTTTTTTGGGGGGGTGAGGGTGGGGGTCCGGTCGTGGGGCCTGAACTCTGGGCCTGGGCGCTGTCCCTCAGCTCTTCACTTGATCTACAGCGCTCTACCACTTGATCCACAACACCACTTCTGGTTTTCTGGTGGTTCATTGGAGATAAGAGGTTTACAGACTTTCGTGCCCAGGCTGGCACTGAACTGTCATCCACAGATCTCAACCTCCTGACTAGCTAGGATAGTAGGCGTGAGCCACCGGCACCCAGCTCCTCTGTGGAACTTTTTTTTTTTTTTTTGTCGGTCATGGGGCTTGAACTCTGGGCCTGGGCTCTGTCCCTCAGCTCTTCAGCTCAAGGCGAGCGCTCTACCGCTTGAGCTACAGCGCCACTTCCGGTTTTCTGGTGGTTTATTGGAGATTGGAGTCTCACGGTCTCTCCTGCCCGGGATGGCTTTGAACCGCGATCCTCAGATCTCAGCCTCCTGAGTAGCTAGGATTACAGGCGTGAGCCACCAGCGCCCGGCTCTCTGTGGAACTTTTATGAGACTCAAAAAATAGGCTGTTAGAGAGTATTTGTGGCAAGCATCTACTCCTGGCTCTCAGAAGATCACAATTTGAAGCCAGCCCTAGGGCAAAGTTAGCAAGATTCTCATGCCAAGCAGTAAGCTGGGTGTGATGGTTCTTGTTCATAATTCCAGCTACGAGGGAGGATTTGATGAAAGGTTTGGGTCCATTGCAGCCCAGGGATGGTTGGAAGAAAGCATGAGAATTTAGAAGTTAAAAGTGAAACTTTGGGCGCAGTAGTTGATGTTACTCAGGAGGCTGAGATTCTGAGGATCACAGTTCAAAGACAGCCTGAGCAGAAAAGTCTGTGATTCTTTTATCTCCATTAACTACCAAAAAGCCAGAAGAGTCACTGTGACTCAAGTAGTAGACCGCTAGCTCAGGGACACTTTTTCCTAACAGAAGAAGTGAGCGATGAAGAAATGAGTGAGGATGAAGAGCGGGAAGATGAGAATCACATCGTGGTTGGTAAGGACCCTGGACCCCTGCCATGGAGTCCCTGTCCTCAGCTGAGACTGAGCATGGCCTCATCCAGGCCCACAGTCCAGCCATGGCGGACCAGGCGCCTTCCAGGCCATTCTTCCTGCAGGCTGCCGCTGCTCTGGGAATGGCCCTGGGGTCCCGGACATGCCCTGAACACTTACCTGGTGTGCCTGGGGCCGCTGTTCCTCATCGGGAAACTTTCCCTGGAAGGCTTTCTTCTAGGCGGGGCTGAGACCAGGTGCTGAGGAGTCTGGGAAATGCTCCCTGAGGCCCAGTCCTGGGGGGAAGGAGACTGCTGGACAGCAGCTTAGTCTGAGGCTCTCCTGTGGTGCTGGTGGCCTGAGGGACCCGCCCCTCTTCTGGCACGTGCCCTCGTCCCGGAACCCAGCGCCGGGCACAGGGCTCTGCCATGCCTGCCTGGAGGCCGTGGTGCCTCTGGCACCTTCCTGTGGAGGCCACGCCGACCCCGCCCAGCACCCACCCAAGGCAGAAGAGGTGCTGGTTCTTGCTTCTTCCTGGTTCCCTAATTAGGTTTAACTTTTAAAGTTCCAGAGTCACGATTTGACCGAGACTCCGGGGACAGTGAAGACGGGGAGGAAGAAGTGGGGGAGGGCACCCCCCAGAGCAGCGCCCCCACTGAAGGGGACTACGTTCCTGACTCTCCCGCCCTGTCGCCTATTGAGCTCAAGCAGGAGCTGCCCAAGTACCTGCCGGCCCTGCAGGTCAGGCACCCCCACCCCCTGCTCCGCCTGGTGAATCCGTGTCCTGGTGTACCACCTGTGTGGTGGTCTTCCCGGCTAAGAGCCGTGGAGCCAGCCACCCTAGACCCCAGGGCCTCGTCACGGCCGCTCCTCTGCCTGGCAGCAGGAGCCTCAAGCTTTGGCCTCCGCTGTCCTGACTGCTGGCCAGGTGCACTGGGGCCACATGGGTGCGCACGGGGTGTGAGCTGCGTGGTGAGCTGGCGGTTGAGGGAGAGCTGTAAGGAGAGGACAGGGCTAGCAGGGACCTGGAATGTGGCGGAAGCACCGACTTGGGGCAGACATGACACACCCCTCCCCCGCCCACGTGTCACCGACACCTCCGGCCTCGCAGGCCGCCGCATGTGAGGACCATGGGCCGGCCGCCTTCCCATTGGCCCCCCAGACAGTGCCCGGCAACAGCAGAGGCTCCCGGTAGGGCTCTGCGGCTCCCCCCACACACACACACACACACTTCACTTCCTACTGAAAACACTAGGTGTGATCAGATAAAGCACGGTGCTCCTGCTCACGCACACTGCCTCTCGGGACCACCTTTGAGCCCTTGTGCAAGGTGGGGTGTGGGCATAGACGAGACACCCCTCCCGCTGCTGCTCAGCCTCCTTGCCCTGTCCCTCCCCAGGGCTGCCGGAGTGTGGAGGAGTTCCAGTGCCTGAACAGGATTGAGGAAGGCACCTACGGGGTTGTCTACAGGGCCAAGGACAAGAAGACAGGTGGGTGGGCTCCCAGATGACCCGCTGTGGAGAAGTCAGGCTGGGCAGTGGTGCCCAGCCCTACGGTTCCAGCCTCTCAGGAAGCCGAGATCTGAAGATGAGGGTTCAAAGCCAGCCTGGCAGGGAAATTGGTGAGACTTATCTCTAACCACCAAAAAACAAGAAGCAGAGCTGCAGTTTAAGGAGAAGATCAGCCCTGAGCAAAAAATATCAGGGGCAATACCTAGGCCCTGAGTTCAAACCCCAGAACCAGTTACCCGCACCACCCCTACCCCCAGAAAAACCCAAAGACTTCAGCAGGTACCAGGTAGCAAGAGAACTTGGCTTGGGCATCAGGCAGGGAACTTCCCTGGAGAAGCATTACTCTGCTGGTGGTGGTGGGCTTGAACTCTGGGCCTGGCCACTGTCCCTGAGTTCTTCTGCTCAAGATGAGCACTATCACTTGAGCCACATCACCACTTCCGGTTTTCTGGTGGTTCTTTGGAGATAAAAAGCCTCAAGGACTTTCCTGCCTGGGCTGGCTTTGGACTTGATCCTCAGATCTCAGCCTCCTGAATAGCTAGGGTGACAGGCTGGAGCCACCGGCTGGCTTTGAACCGAGAGCCTCAGATCTCAGTCTTCTGAGTAGCCGGGATGATCACTCTTGCTTGGCACTGTTTTTGTTTTCTTTTTTTTT